TGGATCTGCAATAAAAATAAATACCTGTAGCTCGGGCGAGCTGTTATGGTTGGTATATTCTACAAACAGGGCAAATTTGTTGCAGCGGTCGAGGTGGATTCGTCAATGCTTTACTACGTAGTTAGCAACCTAGTTAAATAGATCGCCGGCCATTGATCGACGAGCAAGTAAAGTTTGAATTTGCTCTCCGTTTTGTGTCCCGTGACCGTTGCTTGTTAGTTGTTGGGTCGCCGCGTCTTTCTGTCTTATGTTGTGATTATTGACCCAGCAAATTTCGTTCTTTTGCAGTTGTTGGTAAACCGGATTTAGGACAATGCGCATGTTTATTGAGAACCACGCTTCGAGTAAGTAGTTTCTTTTTCTTGTCTCCCCCTGTACCAGAACCGCTGTTTTGTCAACTTTGTATCGCTCCTTAGCAACCTGCATCGAGACCAGTGAAGATGCGGAATGCTTTTGGCAGGCTCGTTTGTGCTCTTGTAGATAATTTCCATTCTGCTTGGTCCAAATAGTGTTGCTCACAATTTTGACACTGTATCCTGCAAACGACGTTTGTGTGAATTCGTTTTCCTTTCGGTTTAGACAGGTTTCCATTCAGAATGGCGGTGGGTAGGTGAGCTGCAACCACGTGATGTAGTTTAAGGAGCCAAGCGGTCAGTTCTGATACGTTCGTGATATATGGCAAAGCGTTGTTGTTGATTCAGGTGTAGTATTTGCAGTATTGCAGTTTGTGAGTCTTCAGATAAAAATGCGTGGGGTCTTTCCGTATAGGAGGCTCAGATACTCATGTGCTTGCACATGAAGTCGATTCCGCTAAAGTTTCCGAGATGGCCGCCATCCATCCCAAGCTTCAGTTCGAGTTGACCGATGTGCTGTGTAAATCAATCAACTGTTTCTTTGAGGGATCTCTTCGTAGCTGTTCTCTACCTGTCGACTGGAGACAGCCTATCGTAGGTCATGTTTTCAAAAGGCTGATAAGCACCTTCCCGAGTACTACAGGCAGGTTAGTATAACAAGCATACTGGTCAAGTTATTGAAGAAAATGGCAACAGATGCTCTGGAAAAGCACTTGACCAAGTTCAGCTTGCATAACTCTTCTCAACATGGGTTCCGCAGAAGTTACTCTTGTTTGGCTAACTTGCTAGTAGTTCGAGAATGCTAGGCCGAGGCTGTAGATTTGTGTCAAACGGTGGACGTTTTGTGCATTGAATTTTCCAAAGCCCTTGACAACTTCTCACACCGCTGTCATCCATTTAAATTAAAATCCCACGGTGTTTCTATCCAAGTAATGAAATGCAATTTGGCGTCCCTAGAGAAAAGGGAGATGAGTGTACGAGTGGGCTGCGGGTTATTTTACCGACAAGCAGTTCCAAGCTGTTACTTGTGAATGGAAGGATTTTGGTGGGTATTTTTGTTCGTCGCAATCAGCCGACAATTCAGATTTGTCGACCAGCTGTCCGGAAAAGCACCAGAAGGCCGTTTCGCCCTATTGGGGCTCATCAGTGGTGCGCATCCTTCGGTCCTCTGTGGAGGATCGAACCCATGACTGCTAGTGGCTCTTGCCAACTAGCCCGCAGCTTATGCAACTGCGCCATGGAGGACGGTATCTGACTAACAATTCACGATAGTCAGATACCGTCCTCCATGGCGCAGTTGCATAAGCTGCGGGCTAGTTGGCAAGAGCCACTAGCAGTCATGGGTTCGATCCTCCACAGAGGACCGAAGGATGCGCACCACTGATGAGCCCCAATAGGGCGAAACGGCCGTCTGGTGCTTTTCCGGACAGATGGTCGACATATCTGAATTGTCGGCTGATTGCGACGAACAAAAATACTCACCAAAATCCTTCCATTCACAAGTAATACCAATTCGCCCGTACGGATTCCATAAAATGCTATGTCGATTCATAGCTGCCGTAACCGGGAACTCCTGACGCCGGAAGGCCGACCGCTGTCATCTGCATGGCAGGTGCCTGCATGGCAGTGGAAGATGCGTCGGGCTATATCGCATTTAGCTAACAATTCACGATAGTCAGATACCGTCCTCCATGGCGCAGTTGCATAAGCTGCGGGCTAGTTGGCAAGAGCCACTAGCAGTCATGGGTTCGATCCTCCACAGAGGACCGAAGGATGCGCACCACTGATGAGCCCCAATAGGGCGAAACGGCCGTCTGGTGCTTTTCCGGACAGCTGGTCGACATATCTGAATTGTCGGCTGATTGCGACGAACAAAAATGTTCCAAGCTGTGTTCAACAGAAGAGTTCTCGGTTGTCTGCTGTACGCAGTTTATGTTAGCAATACTCTGAGAACAAGGGACCATTACATTTGTTTACGCAGTGAACGATTCAGATTGTCCCTTTGATCTGAACAAGGCACTGGACAAGTTTTGGGAGCGGTTCGGTTTGTGGCAGTTACCTCTTATCATCATTATACAAGCTAGCTGCAGGTGGAAATCACCTCAGCTATTGTGCTGCAATACAAAAAAACGAAAAATGTGGAACAGAGACACGCCGGCTGAGCCACCAGTAACGGATGGACATCCTTCCGGAGAGGTAACAGCCGGTTGTTGTGCCGTAAAAAGGAGTTATACTAGATCTAACAAACGAGATCGTCGTTGGAGGGGGAGACTAAGCGGAGGGGATGGACAAAGGAACGCATAAGACTGAGGTCTGCTTTTAGCCATGTCAGCAAGTGTATCCAACCAAAGGTGTTCATCGTCTTTCGGACCCCAACCAGGGAGCCGAGAGGCTCCAACCGAGGGTCTGCATTCCTCTTAACCAAGTCATCGCTTGGCCATCCCTCCTCTTTTTCCATCCGCACCCCCGGCGCGCTAACAACGTACGTCGCGGAAGTCAGTGGGCTGGCGCGCGCAACACGTGGCCCAGCCACCGGGACCTAGTGCGTGAAATAACGGTGCTCAGCAGTTCGCATCTGCTTCCTGCGCCATAAACAAGGCGCTAATTAAAAAGAGCTACCCAATGACGTGGTTTCAGTAGCGACAGTGAAGTAATTTGAACATGCGCTCGACGATTTTGGGTTGCATCTCTAAGCTTTCCCCTTTGATTCCTAACTTCTGTTTCCATTTCCCAGACTTCTCATTCCGTATTGCTGATATCACCACATCCTACACTTTCGTACTTGCAAAATGCTTAGAAGTATTCTGTTGATTGTCATTCTCCTAGCCTTTATTCTCACTGCACGTGGCCAATACAGCGGCGACTACCAGTGTAGGCCACGTGGGCATTGATTGGTTGACGGTGATGTGATTCGAGTGTATTAAATTGGCTCCCCTAGGTGTCAAATTGATCCCACGAACTCTTTCCTGTTTCAACGACGCACTCAAGAATGAACATCAAAAGGAATTTTCTACTGTTCTCGTCCCGTGTGAACGTGAACATTCAGTCAGCGTAATACATTTGAGTTTATTTGATAGAAAATTCCGTCGAATTTGTCAAGCTCGGAGTGTAAATGAAAGGTGGGTCACTTCTGTTTAAGTCACCAGCGATTATGTAAATGGATCATCCTAACTTCGGTGACAAATCCGACACATGGGGATGTGTAAACCTTTTCAACTCTGACAGTGTTGAAACACCTCTACATACAAGTTCCCAGCCCAGACAGATAAAAAACCACTGAAAAAGCTTGGTTCGCATTTCAGCAGATGGCAGCTAATTGAATCCGTTGCGTAAGCGGAGAGCGGAGGTTTACACCTGACTTCGCTAACGTAGGTAATGGCACCTCTTCCGCAATGCTGGGATTTTCCTAGGCGGTCGGAGCTAGTATGACGATGGCCGTTGATTTTGACGACTCATATTTGGTTTCAGCGTGTAACCAACTTTCCTGTAACACCACTACATCTGCATTCATAAATTCCCTTCGTTGTTAAAGCTTAGATCGATCAACAATCGCCCCTAGAAGCCGTTCTTTATTGTTTGATAAGACTAGCTGAATGTATACCTCATGGACAGGACAGCGCCTGAGCCCAGCTCGTAAATTTTCCCTGGCAAGTCATTTAGAAGTCATCTTAATTCTGTGACCGTGTTCAACTTCTCGGAGCTAAACCAAACGATCGACAGAGTAAAACAACATTGATAACCTTAAAATTGGTTCACCTAAACGAATGCTAAAATAATCTGCTGTGAGTGGCATTGAAGGGTATTCGCATAACAGCCAAGGTCGAATTTGGAGGAATGTGCGCTACTGGCAAGGCTCGAAAAGATGAAAAAGAAATCAGTGCTTCCCTGGATGTGTAGTGACTTGCAGACTGCGCCCAGTTTCAGGGTCAGCGGTCTATACGTGAACTCGATAGCAAGAAGGGACTGGCAGGTGCAAAGCTGAGTTTCGATTGCTTTATCAAGTTGAATATCCCGTGTTAGTAACAAGTATAGTAGATAGAGAGCAGACAATAATTTTCGAGCACCATAAGCAAGTAAAAGCGAGAGAAACAGAATGCAAGCATAGAACGAAGTGATTCTCATGGTTAGCGCAGAGTTGTCATGGGCACTTCTAATCCACTGTGTAACTCCCTATCGCGTAGCTTCGTCGGCCACGACAATCGTAAGGCTCCGAATCAACTCAACTGAAAGCAGAGACTTAGGTGTAGTAAACGGATCCCGTTTCTACAGTATTTGATGGAAAATGCAGGTACAAATGCTTCAGTTCGTGATGTCTATGTTCCAGCTTTGATGTCATTTCGTGAGGAATGTATGCAGTAGCGAAATGTGAGATTTGTTGAGATAGAGTTTATCTAGCGTCCTGGAAAGTGACACGCAGCCTCAGCGAACAGACCAGAGAAGCACGAGGACTCCTCCATCAAGTCGAGGTTGACCTTAACCGTAATGAGGGAGTGCATCAGATCTTGACAGGTGTAAGTGTAGCGGGGGCGACGAGGTGGAACGAGCATATCCGCATCAGATCCTCGCGCAAAATGACCCATTAATCTGGGATGGTGAGAGACAAAATTGCAACACAAGTTAATGGGTCAAACAACAGCGAGCACCTACCAGAAGCATCCGGAATCGCAGTACTCGGACCATCAGCGCTGATGTTCAGCAACTCATTGGTCAGGTGTCCAAACGTTGGATACAATTGGTTAAGAAAACGGGCGAGCTGCGTGCACCAGCGTTGCAAGATGTAACGCACAGCAATGTGTCTGGTATCCGTTCCGGCGGCTGCGCTAGAAGCGAGAAGGCGAACGAAGCGGCAGTCGTCAACACACAGCCAATCCAGCATGAGTTTGATCGAAGCCAATAGGTATAATCGACTGATTATACTAGCCTGAGATGTGATATCCGAATAGCCGGAGGGTTGATAAGCGGGCAAACTCTCGACTTCTTCACGCGGCCCTGCGTCGGTGTAAGGTTCCGACAAATCGCGATGAGGGATGCGTTTGGAGTAGCGTACCTCGGAATCCCGGATGTTTTTTCTCTGCACGCCAGAACTGGATTTAAGAAAAAGTGGAAAACTGGTAGCAGACAATAGATTAGAAACAGTATGGATATCATGATTGCGATGAACCAGAAGATGGGATCTGCAAGTCAATAGAACCGGCTCAAACTCCGTTACCAGGCACTCAAACAAAGTAACTGGGAAGTGGAGGCAACAAACTGAGCGCCTTTGGAGATCCAGGTTCCTGGCAGTGCCATTAAGGAAAGAAAAGATTAGGCGAAGCTGTAAATTGTATACTTTCTGTTCTAATCGGAAGTGCCAACCTTGATGCACAATCTGCATGTGAAGAAAAAAATTAACCATGTATCTTTTACTTCGCACATTGGAAATCCTGTTCGGCCAGGTCAACATGATAGTTTTCACATGCAAGTTACATTAGCAATACTAGTTTATCCACTCGATGATGCTAACCTTAAAGCTTCACCCTCAGGTGAAGGCTAGGAAGAAACACAAAGCACACAGATTCTGCTAACTCCTATTCACTCAGTAACACAGATGACATTTTGCTCGATCATGCCAATTCACACCCTGTGGTGCGTTTTGAAAGGAGAAGCCAACGTTTCGGTTGGTACCCATACCAACATTGTCTTTTCCGTCACATGACAACGCAGGCATAGATCTCCACTTGCTAGTGAAGGATGAAGGGAAAGCCATTGAGCCCACCTAACGTCTCAGCCATTTCGTAACACGAAACGCATCTTGCTCGATCACGTAAGTCTGACAGTCAGTTTGAAGAATGTTTGGGCAGCTCACCTGTTTTAACTCCTGCCTCTGTGCATACTCCCTTACATTAGTCGGCTAACGCAACTGAAGCTATGAAGATTCATATGAAGCTACGTTGATGTATTAACCATAGCTTTCTTGTTCTCTTATTATCCAAATACAGTAACCCCAAGTATAGGATAATCGCAAAGCACAAACGAATTTCAGCCGTACGACTTTAGTCCATCATACTAGTCTCCATTGTGCATTACTCGCCCATTACTCTCCCATTGTTTCGCCCTCTTCATAAACACGCCATCATCATGGTCCCCGATATGCACCTAAACTAAGCAACGGAGAATGCCCGTGAACAGGAGAAAAATGACAGTGAAGGCCCTAAAGGAATATTTTCATGAAAAAATCCCAGTCTGAACCAAAACCATTGATAGCCCTGAATGCGTGTACACAGTGTATATGTAGATACGGTCCATCCCTTCGCGGGCACGGTTTTTCGATATCACGAGAGATTTGCATTTTCAATTCAATTTCTCTGAAATAGCAGTATTTGTTCAAAGAGAACACCTTCTAGGTGATCACAAGATCGACACTCCTATACGCCAAAAAGTAATGCAACCATTAAAAAAGCAACGATTGTAATCAGTCGGGTGAGTCAACGTATCAACTGACATATGATTCGATGCTTGATAAATCGTGCATTATTGCCTCAACCAAATAGAGGCACAAGGAGAATGAAACTACCCATTAAAACAACAATAGTGTATTACGTAGTCTATCGGTTTGAGCATCGGAACATCGGCCGAAGGGCTCGTTAATCGTCACATTGCATTGAGGAACTTAGCCCTAAATGGTTGGTGAACGGAGCCACCGGAGTTCTCACAAGCGGTATTTTGTCTCACCGTCCGAATCAGGTCATCGGATTAACCTCCCGAATGCGTTTGCTGTGAATTAGCAGGCTACCATGAGCAAATCGTAATGTTCGCGGTTAAGTACGCTCTCGACTACAGAGACCATGGCGATTCGAGTGTTTCAAGCCCCGCTGTACTTTCCAAAAATGTTTCTTCAATCTCTGTCTGTCCTGGCCGTACAGCCATCAAGCTAGCCGTCGCTACGACCTCGCTTCAGGCATGGTGATTACCTAACCCACAATCGGTCTGTGCGGATGAGCCAGCGGCGAACTAGTTGCTGTCGAACCATTAACCTATCAGACTCAGGCAGACAGGCACCATACACCCAGAAAAGCGCCACATGGTCGTTTCGTTCTATTGGGGCTCGTCGGTAGCGCGCATTCGCCGAATCCTACCGGATTTGAACCCATGACCTCACTCTTGCGAGCCAGAGACTTATGTCAATGAGCTTTGGGTGGCGGCAGCAGACCGGACGCGCGCTGCTGACGAGTCCCAACAGGACAAAACGGCCGTCTAACGCTTTCCTGGATGTATGGTGGATGTCTGTCCAGCTGCGACGAAACTTTACCAAAAGGCAAGTAAATCCCCCTCCTACTCATTCATTGACTTAGCAATTTCGGAACCAACCCCTGAACCAATTATCCACCAATCTCTTGTTCTAAAATTGTGATTTGTGCTGGCTAATAAATGAATCAATGGTTTTCCTCTAAAAAGGCAAATGCGTAACAGGTCCCGTAGGATGGCCAGAATGAGAACCACAAATGAGGAAAACATTGATTTAATGAAAAGCGTTACGGTGGACTCATCATAGTGTTTACGCTAAGGCAGGCGTAAAAGAGCCTACCTCGATTGTGTAGGGTAATGCAGGTGGATGTCCTGCCTTCACACATTATATGGTATGTAGACGTAAATAATGGCAATGTGCCAGCTGTACGCCGTAATGACGCATTGCTGCCGCGCGACCACCACCAGTCGCATGTAGGCTGAGTATACCGCGAGGACATTCGCCCTTACGCAGATTCGGACCAGTAACCTTATGATTGCAAGCCAGGCATGCAGACCACTCGGCCACCGGCCGACATCTAGTGGTAATTGGTAATGTAGTTAGGTTAGAGCAACGTCAAGGCGTTTTCTAAATACGGATAACATAAAAAGCAGAAACGTAAATGGGAAGAGCGTCCATAGATGAAACACACGAAAAGCGTAAAAGTCTCCCCGACATTCTAGCCGACTGAATTACGTGGCCAACTTAATCTGGTAGAATTTTGAGTTTGCGTTGCGAACGAGTTGCAGTAGGTGGCGGCAGATGTGGTTGAGACCCAGTAAAATCTCGTAGGTCATTATTAATGCTGCGGAGCCCTCATGGACCCACAGAAGTCCCACGCCGAGCCGTTTCCCTCTCGCTGACCCCGTCCCACCGGTTCGCATGGCAACTCACACAGATGACAGCTACACTGTTGTTCCCTCGGTGTCACTTATCAGGCGACATTTAACCTGCCGCAATCAGCGCGTGAATCCCTCGGTAACACCGTTGCTGGGGGACAACTCCCATTAGTTGATGTTCGCCTTCGTAAATGCCTTTTTACTCGCGTTAGCCCGGCAACACGGTGCTATAAATACGGAGGTGTAGAATTCATGTTCGTCTTTCTTCTGAGTCAGTAGAAGCGCTCTTGTCGAAGGACTGTCTTCTCTCGCTCTCGGTCCAACGGTGCAGTTCTGGGATTGCGCTCGTCTCGCGTGTGGGATAATCGTAGCTAGGAACCGCGGGGGCGTAGTCGGTCTGGATTTCGTGTAGCTAATCGATAAGTGAGAAACGAATCGACAAGCGTTATTAGCTCGGCTAAGCAGCATATTGAACAATTAGATCGCCATGTAGGCGCCAACACTGACCGCTATATAAACATAGGGTCCTCAGTCAAATTTGATATGTAAGGTGGAACAACCCTTTGGCATACTTAGTGGTACTTCGTTGTGGAGCCTCGAGCACAGCGAGATCTTGTGTTCGCACGGGCTGCCAAGCCAGGATTGTGTATTCCACATGAGGAACTGCGGACAGACAGACGGATCAAACCGCCCGAATGTCATCCACAGCATGCCAGCGTATTGTTTCCCAGTCGCTGAAGCCTTCTCAGACTGTTCTGAGCAATTCAGATCACCCGAGATTGATACCCCAAGGTCGCGCTCCTGGGTGACTGCTTGCAGCACATGGACTCCAAGCTCGTATATGACGTTCGGCTGGTGACGAATGTGGACCCCTTTACACTTGGACGAAATAAACTGGAGCAGATTGTAGTGTATGACCACTCCCACGTACTGTCCAGTTACCATTGAAATGCGTTGTGATTTCGTTGGTTGGCGATCGCCCGCTACATCTTAACATCATCAGGAAAAAGCAAGAAATCCGAGACGATCAGACGCTTAAGCTTGCTAATGAACAGCAGAAATAGATGTGGCTCCAAAACCAACATATGTGGAACCCCACATTTGACAGGAATTTGATGGGACGGTGCACTTGAAACTTTAACCCGCAATTGCCGATGCTGCAGGAAAGTGCTGATTCCCTAAAAGACAAGGTCCCCAACTTCGTAGCTTTCCAGATGGCGAAGCAGAATGGCCCAAACGGTCGGAGACTGTGAAGAAATCACGGTAAATGACATCGGTCACTGTCCCTATGCTGGCCGATCCGTCCAAAAACAGCGTCCAACCAGTAGGTTGGCTGAGCATGAACGGTGCTGTCCGAAACCGTGTTGCTGGTTGCTACGATGTTGCAGCGTTCTAGATGCTCGACTAAAGTCTCAGCGATGATCGTTTCCAAAACCCTTAAAAATGTAGAAAGAAGGACCATTGGGCGATAGTTTGCGGGTCCCGAGCGAGTGTCACTATTAAAAATTGGCGTGATAACACCATTTTTTCAGATGGCAAGCATCAATAATTTCCCAGAACTCGCTGGGAAGAAATGCGCTAATGGCTCGACCAGCGTTGTTGTTGTTGTTGTTGTTGTTGTTACGTCCAGCCCCCGCGAGTGAATATCATTGACCCCAGGAGAACTGCAGGTGCGCTGTGAGAGGCGTCTCCTAAAACTTTTGTGGAGGTAAGCGTGATTTAAGTGTGAAAATTGAGGCGATGAATGGGCAGTGTAACACTGGCAGAAGTCGCGTTGGAATGTAGGGGCACTGGCCGCTTCTGCAGCGTCCTATGCCACCATAACTGCCGTGTTAATTTGAGGACACCGAGCTTCCCTTTGCGAATACTGTTCACATGATTATACAGTAGTTTCTTGTAGTTAGCAATTTTACAAGCAAGCTGTTGTTAGTGAGCCACCTTGTTCCAGCAGATAAACGTATTACAGTGGTTGCGCCGGTCT